GTTGCGGTTTTTCCACTGGGGCAGGTAAGTTGTGATAATGGACGAGACCCATCCCAGCAGCGATAATAAAAGTCCAACAAGTTGCATAATCACTCTGAAGCCCAGGGCCATGGCAGAGGCGTGTTCCGCCCAGTGGACGCTGCCCTCTCCCCGGCCGCCGGGCGTGTGGGGGCCTCGCAGCTACACGGCCGGAATATAAGCTGCGGTGGTGGCCTCTCCGGGCACTCTGAAGCGCGTGTTTGTTCTTCCCAAATATAGTGTTTCATGTAAAGGATGAAGGACTCTGTTAAAACTATGAGTTAGGCTTTCTGATAAGGATTTGATCTGTTACCTTCCAATTTGCTTGGTAAAATTATATCCCCAATGCTTGCTGGTTATAAGTCTAAGGATGAACAAAGAGGGCTCTGTGACCCCTCACCCTAAAACACAACAGAAATCTTTGTGCTTCAATATGGATTAATTAGATTTTAAGTGGTGATAAAGGGCCAGCTCTTTCTGCAACAGGACCTTATTGTACTAGCTGCATCTGAGATTTCAGGGACGCAAAACAAGACCTTGAACAGAAAGGTAGCTGTTCCCCTATAATCTTTATTCCTCTCGGACTTCCTCATCCTACACAAGAGCCTGGCCCGCGTTCGAGTGTCACAGGGACTCGGTGGGGACCTGGCAGGACAGTCGCCCTCAGATTCCTTTGAAAGGTAGAGGCTGGCTCACTTGGCTCACTGGGTTAATTAAAATGAAAGAGACCCAGGCCGTGCCAGTACTAAGTGAGGACCGAGAGTTCTAGAAGCTCTGGCCCTCCTGCTGTTATTTTCTCCACCCTCAGCAAGGAGTTGGGGTGAAGCCTGACTGCATTGTATCTGGGGAGGGAGAGTTTTTGTGCAGAACTGGGCTTCTCCGCCGTGGAAGCCACATGGACAAAGCCGGGCGGGCGTGAAGCCTCCTGCCAGCTCCGAGACAGGACGCTGTGGTGTGAAAACATAATCCACAATGGGCTGTTTGTTTGGTTTGGTTGAGGCCGCACTGAAGAGCAGACCTGTGTGGGGCGTGACCCCTCGCCAGGGCCCGAGCTCCCGGCTCCCTCACTCCCGGCCGCAGGGCCCCAGGAAGCTAGCACCGCCCGGAGCGGGCAGGGGGCCTGACAGCCCCCCACAGCAGAGCCAGCGGATGGGGGGTTCCTGCCAGGTGAACCCAAACTGCAGCACCGTGGTCCAGCTGCTGAGCCCAGTCCGTCGGGCATTAAAAACTATAGGCAGGTGGTTAGTCGTGTGTTGAAACCTTTTCCTTAAAACGGCCTGGAACCTGCTTCTCTGTGAGGCCAGGCGCTCCATCCAGAAGTGTTTGGACAGGTAACGATCCCCTGTCAGGGCGACTGAGGAGGTTTCTGTGGTGGGAGTTGGACACCAGAACCTCTGTCAAGAATCCAGAAATAGCAAAACTAAAACCACCGAGTCAATAATGCAGCCCGTGAGCGCTCAGCGTGCCTGTAAGCGCAGTTCTCGTTCCGGGAACCTCAGCGGGGGTGTACTGAGGGCTGGAGCGTGGGGACAGGAGTCGCTTGCCCTCGTCCTCGTTACACCGGTTATTTTTGCCACAGGCTCTTCCAGCTGCGGAGGAACGGAAGGCTCAAGGGGCCGCCCTCCACCCTGCTGAGGGCGATGGCTGATGCTTCTTTTGTACCTGGCAGGGGCTTCTAGAAGAAATAACACAAATCCAGCCTCACTTCTGTTCACGAGGTAAACTGGCCGCCGTCCACTTACATGGCGAAGGGGTTTCGTCTGCCGGGGAGTTTCCCAGTCGGTCTCCATTTTGCCTTTCGCGTACCCGCTCCTGCCTTCGCTTGGCGATGGGAATGACACCCGGGAGCGCTTCCTGCTGGCCAAGCAGAGCCGGAAGGTGCGGGCCCTGCTCCGCGGGGCTCCCCCCAGGGGCAGAGGCCATGAAGATGGCGTAAGCAAGAGCACGCCAAGAAACAGGAGGGGGTGAGGGCTCCTGGCAGAGGAAAAGAGCCCCACGGCCCCCAGGCTGGAAGGAGGGAGCCCCACCCCCAGACCCGGGGGCTCTCTCCTGGCTACATTTCAGGCAGAGGTGAAATCCAGCCAGAAGGAAACCAAATTACTACCACGTCGTCAGCGACGGAGACATTCATCTAAAACCAGACCCCGAGTCAGAGAGACGCCCCCCAGACCCAATGCTGGGGCCACCAGCCAGCCCGGCACAGCCAACCTCAAACCCTAGGAAGCCTCTGGTGCCAGGGGCCTCACTGTTCCCCAAGAAGCCACTCCGAATTAGCTGCTCTGCACAGCAGTCACCACGTGTGTGTGAATCTTGCTACCCCCGGCAGCTGAGTCCACGCCAGCCTGCTGAGAGGTGACCCGGGCCGTGTGAGAGAGGTGACCCGGGCCTGCTGAGAGAGGTGACCCGGGCCGGCTGAGAGAGGTGACCCGGGCCGTCTGAGAGAGGTGACCCAGGTCAGCTGAGAGAGGTGATCCGGGCCGTCTGAGAGGTCACCCAGGCCAGCTGAGAGAGGTGATCCAGGCTGGCTGAGAGAGGTGATCCAGGCCGTCTGAGAGGTGACCCAGGCCAGCTGAGAGAGGTGATCCA